TAATCACGATCCTGCTTAAAGCGCTTGTCGTAAAAAGCTGATTTTTTGGAAAATAGATTGACTTAAGGGTTTAAAGGTTCGATAAGAAGGGATTTCGAAACTCGAATTTAAGGGGGTGAAACTACCCCCCTCAAATATTAGAATATATTTTTTAAAAACGGGTGAGTTTTTCGGAGAAACCTAAACACGTATATTTTAATTTAAAGAGTTATTTTACATATTTTTAAGATTTTTAAAATTTATACAGGGTGTTTCCTAAAATATAACCATTGAGTAATCATGATTCTGCTTTTAAACTGTTTGACGCTTAAAGGTGATTTTTGGCAAACGGATTGACTGTGGGGTGTAGAGGTTCGATATGAGGGGTTTCTGAATCTCAAATTCCAAGAGGTAAAATGTCTCAAATATTACAATATTTGTTATTTAAAAACGGTTAGTCTTTCGGGAAAACGCTTGGCCAAGCATAATTTATTTTGTTTTTTACATATTTTGAAATTTTTTAAAAAATCATACAGGGTGTTCCAAAAGTTGATAGTTTAGTAACTGCCAAAATATACTAATATCGCCATATTGTTTTTTCTCATGCTGACATAAATGTGAGAAAATTTTATCCATTACAAATGATTAATTTGATGCGAACAAAGTTGCGAGTACACGCTAGTAACTAATATAACACAACATAAAACACAACTTAAAATTAAATTAAATTTTGTGGTACTTTGTACAGGATGACCTGTTTTTTATTCCGAATAGAAGAACCGAATAGAACATGCTATTTTTTTCAAACGTCACAAATAATCTTCTAAACAATAATTCAAACGTAGCAAATTATACAAAAACTAAGTTGAAGCCCGGCGCGTCCGCCGCCATCAGAAAATACTTTTTGTTTTTTTAATTAAATGAAAACAAAAAATCCGGCGACGACAGTTTTTAGATGAGCCAATTCGCTATCTTTTAGTAAAAAGCAACTTTATAGAGCAAGTCGTTACTTCAGTAGACGACACAGATAAACATTAGTATTTATATAATAGGCATAATACAGGTATATATATTACTCTTCTGGTATACGAAAACTTACAATGGCTAATTTTGAACCAAAAAGATATCAAAAAATAAAAAAATACCGTTTCTATAATATCGAGGGGGAATACATATGACGTATTTTTTGAACCACCCCGACCTACACCTAAGGCGGCACCACTACTCACTTGAAATTCTTAAATGGCAACACCCCACTTGTGGCGCCTTTTTGTGAAAGCCCTTGAAAAATGCTAAACGATGATCATAAAGTTTTAGGGTGAAATTGAAAAACCACCCCTTACACGAAAAATTAGTTGGACATTAATGAGAAAAGTGATTTTTTCAGCATAAGCTACAAATTTGGGACCCAGCTAAATGCAGTATTCTTCAAACCACCCCCATCTTACACCCCTAGGTGCCACCCCCTCCCTTCTAACCTCAAGATAGCGATACCCCACTTGTAACACCTCTTTGGAAAGCGTGCTAAAAATGGCAGGAATGACCTGTCATGTAAAGAAGAACGAATAAAATAGAGCCTAAAAATAAAACAAAAATGTCAAAACGTGTCAAAATCAATAGAATGAATTATTTTTATATCCATGAACCATTGCGAGAAAAAAAGCTGGTACAAAGAAATTTTATTATAATCCTTAATGAAGACCTCATACACTTTCAGCAAGATGGAGCCCTTCCGCATTACTCTATTGTCACAAGGCGGTGCCGGTGGTTGGATAAATATTAACCAAGGCAATGGATTGGCAGAAGGGGGCCAATCGAGTAGCCGCCAAGCCTGATCTCACTCCTTTAGACATTTCCTTGTGGGGTTACACTAAATCCATAGTTTACAAGACAAAACCAGGTTCGTTGTAAGAATTTTTCGCAAGGACTTTCCAAAAAGTGAGAAAAGAATTTGAAAAAATCTCTACTGTATTTTTGTGCTAGAAACAAAACGGTTGTCATTTTGAGCAATTATTAAAATAAATTATCAGCTTAAATTTCTTTCATTTTGTCAACAATCTTACATTTTTTGTCACTAACCAGTAATTAAGTTGAGGTCTGCATGACCATCGCTTAGCAATTTCAATTAGCTTTCCAAAGAAGTGTGACAAGTGGGGTATCGCTAACTTGAGATTAGAAGTGAGAGTGTGGCACCTAGGGGTGGGTTGGGGTGGTTTGAAAATACTTCATTTGCGTCATTTAGCTGGGTCCCAATTTGTAACTTATACTGAAATTTTTTTTTCATTAATGTCCACCTAACGGTTCGTGTAAGGGTAGTTTTTCAATTTCACCCTTAAAAAACTTTACGATCATCATTTAGCATTTTTCATGAGCTTTCCAAAAAGACGCCACAAGTGGGTTGTTGCCATTTAAGATTTTCGAGTGAGTAGAGGTGCCGCCTAAGGTAGGTCGGGGTGGTTCAAAAACACATCATATTCCCCCCCGATATTATAGAAACGGTATTTTTATTTTTTGATATCTTTTTGGTTTAAAATTATAGCCATTGTTATGGCCCACCCTTGTATATAGATATTTAAAAATTAAAAAAGTTTCATTCATAAAGTTGTCTTCTCACATCATCTCATTCGCCTCGGTCGACTCGGTCGATTATACGAGAACTGAAAGATGTAGAAACAAAATTTTTATGAGTATAGAGAGGCAATATGTGCTAATTTAAAATTATTTTCAAATGTATGTGCGCGTACAGGAACTAAGATCCATACCAAGGTTATATTTTTTCTTATGGAAGGAACGCGAAGTATTTTATTTCGTTTTTTGATTCTTTTGTACACAAAATAAGGCATTTATTATAAGTGGGTTTCATTATGTTTAAAAGCTTTGGTTTTTGGGATATTTAAGATACTTCCTAAATATGCATGCTATAATAAAAAAGTTTATCAACACCTTGTACATTACTTTTCAGAATTAATTTTGTGCTGACCTTCAAGCCGGCGAAATAAACTTTACTAAAAAATTTGATTGCTTTCTTAAATGTATACAGGAGTATCAAAAATTGCTGGTCTATTTTAAATATTTATTTTACATAAAAATTTCGTTATTTCAAATTCTTTGAAAAAAAAAACGAATATATTTTAATTCATGCTTCGGCAGGCGTTTACCTAATATCTTGACGCCGTTTTTTTTTTTTCTGATTATTTGGTATTTTACCAATTACCATTATTTGTTCAAGTAATAACAACTATCAAAAATTAGTACCCGGTCCACATTTCAGACAGAAGATCATAAGGAACCAGAGCGACATATTTTCTTTACAAGACGCCCCCACCACTTTACAAACATCAATATTTTCCGTCAACGGTTCACCGTCGAGAAGAGTTTTCAGAAAGCAGGAACCTGCAGGGCACGTATTCCAAAGGTAAGCAGAAGAATAAGATAAAAATAAGTAAAAAAATCGTATAAATGTACTCTATGTCCTAAAAGTTTCATATGATAGAGGGGTGTGGAAGTTTCATTTTATTTCGAATTTTCCAAATAACTTCTAAAGTAACGACAAAATTTGGAGGAAAAGAGTGTCTGGGAGATTTTTGACATGAGAAATTTTATTTTGATGTCAATTGGCGATTTCTATTTGTAGGGGGCGCTACATGTGTTTTAACGATACTCAGTAACATAGGACATTTACATCTCAACGCGGTCAAACAAGCTTTTTTGTACACATGTTTACTTCTGGGTACAGTTTGGTACAGTCGACCGAGCCTTCATCATCCAGCCTATGTTGTCACGTCTTAGCAATACAAACTGAACGAAGCATACTGAT